GTGTATCGACTAGGCTGTAACAAGACGAGTGAACTCGTTCTTGTCTGACGAAAACGAGTCTGTTTAGGGAGACATGGCGTGGTGCAGTGAAGGTACTGGCGTTGTCGCCACTGCTTACTCAGAATGCCCATCCTCCTTTGAGGCAGAGTCCCCGTGGCACTACTGCCCTGTTCTAATGTCCTGATCAGTCCGTTTGACCGTGCTAATGTAGGGGCCTAAATAAATACCAATACTGTTTTGGGGGGCTCCCTATTATAATTATAGTCTAATGGGCCCCAAAACCCTACTCTAATTAATTATCAAGGCCCCCACATTAACTCATTAAAGGTTGGCTCTTGCAGAATGCACAGAAACCCGCGCAGTCGAGGTGTGCACCCGGAAACTTCCGCACAAAATTGTTTCGTCTCATGAACGGACTCCGGCAACATGCCCTGCCCTTTCGACTGGGCATGCTGCCTCAGACCCCGTCTTGGAGTTCTTGGGAGTGATGCACATCAAGAACTTCACACCATCTCTCCGAGTCTCACTGATGCTTTCACACGAGAGGACAGAAATGCAACATAAGACAGAAGGCATGGTCCAGTCCCCCACTTTTTCTCAGGAGCTTCTCTCTTCAGATTAGGCTTCCGGGGTATACTGTGAGGAACAGTGTTACCTGGGGTTTAGGGTTTAGGGTTTAGGGTCTTACTTCGCAAGAGAAGACCTCTACTTTGCAGTAAGTCCTGAACCGCACACGCTGAGCTCTACACCCTCAACCTAACCGAAACCCTAAACCCTAAACCCAAAACCCTAAACCCTTAAACCCTAAACCCTAAACCGAAACCCCGAGCGCGAAAGCATCAATCAGAATCTGCACCTTCGGAGGGCTGGGCTGGGCCTGGCAAAAACGCAATACAGAGGCCCTAATCATTGGACTTGCGTGAGTTTGCAGGGCATATTATACTATAGTATAGTTCTATCGGGACCTTAAGTGGATACTAGCAGGAATTATTCCTACCATCATACCAGGTAATGCTCTGTTCGTGGGAGGGTTTACGTAGGGTTAAAGCTCTGGTTTTTCTCAAGAATCCCTGAACCCAGCCTGGTTTCGGAAGGGCCGAAATTCGGGGGAAATGCCAAAGCCCTCCAAACCTAAACCCACAACCCACAACCCGAAACCCCCAATTAAATTTCAAACCCCAGTGCATGCCCTAAGCTGCACTAAACACCAAACCGAAATCCAAAGGCCCTACACCCTAAACGACGGCTTGACAGCCGTAAGCCCTAAAGGGAAACCTTAACAAGGAACCTTTAACAGAACCCGGAACCCTTAAACGAACCCTCAAAGGAACCCTCAAAGGAACCATTACAGGAACCCTTCAAGGAACCCTCTAAACCATTACAGGAACCCTTCAAGGAACCCTTAAAGGAACCCTCAAAGGAGCCCTTAAAGGAACCTCAAGGAACCCTCAAAGGAACCCTCAAAGGAACCCTCAAAGAACCCCTCAAAGGAACCCTCAAAGGAGCCCTTCAAGGAACCCTTCAAGGAATCCTCAAAGGAACCCTCAAGGAACCCTCAAAGGAACCCGCAAAGGAACCCTCCAAGGAGCCCTCAAAGGAACCCTCAAAGGAACTCTTAAAGGAACCCTTACAGCAGCCCAAAGAGCTGCCAAGGTCTCTCCTGCTCCTGAAACCTCCCACCTCCGGGCTTAGAGACTTAAGGTTAAGGGTTTTAGGGCTTAGGGTTTAGGGTTTTAGGGCTTAGGGTTTAGGGTTTTAGGGCTTAGGGTTTAAGGCTTCAGGGTTTTAGGGTTGAGGGTTTCGGGTTGTTGGGTTTAGGGGTCAGCAAAATCGGCCAAAGCGGTACGATTTAACCTATGAATATTCGTAGGACAGCGACAACCTTCAGCGCTACCTACGATTACAACGACCACAACGATCGTTGCCCATATATATATATATATATATGTATATATATATATATAATCAATTAACCATTGTGATGTGTTGACTGCATGACTGCCACGACGAATCGCTTCTCTATCAAGTCGAAAAACCGTCTCAGGAACACTACCATCATAGCCAAGATTGTTTAAGACATCATTAGCTCCTGCTTTGCGATGATTCCCTCTTAGGGCGGTTGTGAAACTTGTTGGCTCAGCCCTTCCTGGTACCCATGTGAAGAGCCCGCTTTCCACCCCCTGAAATTCGAAGTTTAGGGTTAAGGGGTTTAGGGTTTAGGGGTTTAGGGTTTAGGGTTTAGGGTTTAGGGTTTAGGGTTTAGGGTTTAGGGTGTTGATCCTCCTTTTGGTACCCACCTCGGCCCTCCGCGGCCATCCGCCATCCCTGGTTGGAGCGCTCAGCCCCCAGGGACAGGGCCGTGAAATCACGGCCACAACAAACGTCGTAGTGCAGGCACGGAAACTGGAACTTGGGGTTTAGGACATCAGGGTTCAGGCTTGAGGAGTTATTGTTTCAGGTTTAGGTGTCAGGGTACTTGAAGTTTGAGATTCCGGCTGCTGGGTATTCATGTCTGGGTTTAGGCTTCAGATCGCTTTGGTTTGGTTAAGTGGTATAAGATGCGGAGTTGGGTCGCCCAGTTTGCAGTGTCCTGCGCCACTCTAAGGTGTTTGCTTGCCAAACAGGCTCAGCTGTTGACTGAAGCAGAATGAAAGATATCTAGACTAGCAGCTTTCCACACGACGGCTGAACGGGGCTTTTTTGGCTAGGCGGGCTTAGCGTGTGTGGGCTTGTAGGAACCCAGTGGGCATCTTGCGTCGCTGTCGGGCTGCAATTTGGCCAGTCTGGGTGGCTGAGAATATGGATAGTTCTCTAAATACGAGTCTTTCTGAGGTCCCAAAGACTATGCTACTCGGATAACAAGAAGAAAAAGAAGAAGAAAGATCCTCGAGGGTAGAACTCCCCCTCACCCAATACACATGTGTGTATGTATATATATATATACACATATATATATATATATTTGTATATAGATATAGATATAGATATAGATATAGATATAGATACAGGTATAGATATAGACATAGATATAGATGATATAGGTATAGATATTGATATAGATACAGATGTAGATACAGATATGGATATAGATATTGATATATCCAGCAGAACCTGGAGATTTTGGGCGAAGGGATCTTCGATTTGGGCTAGAAAGATGACGTAAACCCGAAGGTCTGAACTTTGCGTGGGCTTTTTCCTTCGGTTGCAGTTACCTTCCTCGGTATGTCTGTTCTATATCGGAGACCTCCTTAAAAGAACCCAGGATATGAAAAAATACTTTCAGGCTGTGTACAACTTTCAGAACCTAGTAAGTTCACTGGGGTTGCTTTGGTTCTATACAGCCCAGAAGATGTAGAATAAGAAGGCTTCGGAGTAACACCAGCAGAGATTCAGGCCTCTACATCACGCTAGCATCCAGGGTCGAAGGGCTGACTGCTCAAGCAGGCGCGGGAGAAGCTGCCAGTGTTTCGTCGCAAAATCGGATTCTCGGCATGTCGGCATGACAGAGACGTCTCCCTGAGTCCGCATGCCGAGTCTAAGGGAAGCTAAAGATGTTAGGACACACTCTGCCTGAGTTTGGCGGCATGATCCTTTCTTTCAGGCGGATGACTTGCAAGAGGCCGGGCGATGAAGCTGGGGGTAAATGCTTTCCGCCATTCGATGGAGATGGCTATACTATTACCTCTACTACACAATGCTGCTGGTAGTGAGGGAAATCAGCAGGATAGGGTTCCTGAAAAGGGTAGCTAAAGAAACCCGGGGCCATAATAATCTTACGACTGAGTGTAAGAACAATTATTGATGGCAATGGTAGCAATAACAACACTACAAATAAGAAACACAAACAAAAATAGTAACAATAATAACAACGAAAATAACAATAATCATGATGACAATAATAATAGTAATTGCTATTGAGAGCAATAGCACTATGATATTGCAAGAAGAATGAATTACGCAAAATGCCAGGCAATGACAGGGTAAGAACTAAACAAGCAGCTTGACAGAGCAACAAGAAGCAACAACAGTCTTTCTACCATGACCACTGCTACGGCGGCTCATTCCCTTATTTCTACCGAGTTGGCCATGCGGCTTTGGGATGCTTTGGGATTCTCGCTTCAGACCTTGACTAGAGCGCTTGAAACCAAGGGTGTCTGGGGCGTAGGTCTTCTGGATGCGCGGTCTCAGCCTAGCCCTACGCGTTAAGCCCTAACGCCCTAAACCCTAAACCCTAAACCCTATACCCTAAACCCTAAACCCCTAAACCCCTAAACCCTAAGCCAACCCTAAACCCCAAACCCCAAACCCCAAACCCCTTAGCCCTGAGGACACCCGTAGAGCCGGAGATCCCCCTCTAATCATCACCCCGGCCCCTTGCAGGCGCCTGGCCGACAGTGAACTCAGCAGCCGGTGACCGGTACATTTAAGGGAAACTACAGGCGGGGAGTTTAGGGTTTAGGAGTTTAGGGTTTAGGGTTTAGGGTTTAGGGTTTACGGGTTTAGGGCTTAAGGAAACTACAGGTGGGGAGTTTAGGGTATATAGGGCTTCTATAAGGCTTCCATAAGGTATATAGACCTT